TCCCTTCCCTTACATTTTATAATCACAATTTTTATTTATTCTCATTTTAAACATAGTTTTAATAAATGTTTGAACTCTTTTTTATATTTTATTTATTTGTTTGTTTTTGTGAAGCGCATAATGATAATTTTTGTCTCGACAAGCGCTATAAAAGATTGTTTCTTTCTTTCTTTCTAAAGTGAGTTTGGATACCTGAAGAATAAATGCCATGTTATGTTTTTCTTTTTTGCTAATGAAGCATCTAAGTAATTAGGTAAACCTTGCTGTACAGGGTTGATGACAAAGTGTCACTAAGTATATAAAATAGGGTCATTAAATAGCAAACAATGGGATTTCCTGGATTTTCTTTTTACATGTTGGAGTCCAGTGCTCCGTGGTCATGTTCTAGCAACCAGTTAGAGATGATCTGAGCTCTGTCTGCTGGAAGTAGAATCAGAAGATGGGTACACTGTGGTCATGAAGTGATGGACGAGGTCAGCAACAACACTCAGGCAGGCGGTGACATTTAAACCAGGCTCAGATGGTGCTTGAGGGTCCGAGGTGGACCACTAGCACAACAATGAAGCATTAATTCATTGCAGGATGGATCCACGCTTTCATGTTTGTGACACCAAATTCTGACCTGACCATCTGAATGTTGCAGCTGACATCCTGTTTCATCAGACCAGGAAAAGCTTTCCAGTCCCTTCTGGTCCAGTTCTGGTGGTCCTGTGTGACAGGACACATCTAGTGTAGTCTTCTGCTGCTGGAGTCCATCTGCTTGTTGATGTTCAGAGATGCTTTTCTACAAGTCTAGCTGGGAGCCAGTGGGTATTTGAGTTCTTGTTTTCTTTCTTCTCTCTGGACCATTCTCTGAGAAAGCCCGTGAAATGGTTCTGGGAGAAAATCCCAGGTTCTAAACCAATCAGCCCAGTCCATCCAGCACCAATGCTACATTCAACATCTCTTATATCCTCTTTAGTCTCAATGCTGACACTCAGTTTTGATTCCAGTCATGTCTAGAATTGCTGCCATGTGATTGGTTGATCGGCTCCAACAAGCAACTGCTATAGACCTAATAAAGTGGCCAGTGAGGAGTTATTAAGAGTAAACACACTTCTAATTTCCATCACCTTCACCACAAACCTTTTGTTATTGTTATTTAAAAATAAGTCCTATGACGCTTCTTCAATAGCATTTGCTCTCAGCATGACCTCATCACTAAAAACAGGTTTTAATCCCATGTTCCTGTAGGAGCGAGGTCTCTCAGGGATTAGCATCGATACAATAATGAGCAGATCAGATTGTCCAAGGTCCAAGACATTTAGATAATCTTTTACATTTGATCCTAACCAGTTGAGTGTGCTTCCTAACAAATGATCTTTCTAGCTGCAGATATAAAAGTGTCGGGTCGCCACCGCCTTCGTGCCAAAGTTGTTGACTGCTTGACTTCAGAAGCTGAGGTCACAATGAGCAACGCTGCTCCTGCTGACTTCTCAGCTTTTCTAATCATCATCAGACGCTGAACTCCGGCGCTGATGTTGGTGTGAATAGAGATAAGAGGCCACCTGTAGTGTTGATTTGCTTAAGCGCACGATTAAACAGTTAATTACAATCTTCATTTTCAAACAAAACCAACAAAACGGGAAATAAACCTTCATTATTTACTACCAAGTTATTCAGAGTGGTGCAGATACTGTTTTGACACAACAGATTTTAGATCATGGCTGAATTATTTGTAATTAGTGCAATTTGACCATGCTGGATCACCATCAAAGCTCAACAACTGCAGAAATTGTTTCCCAGGGAAGTGAGAATGATCTCTGTGAATGCAAATATTCATAATGAAATGCATTTTTTGATTTGAAACCGTCAGGAGCGTTAATCAGGCAGAAGCCTTCAGAACTAGTGAAGAAGAGAAGAGATGTAGCTTTTGTGTCTCAAGATAACGATGATTCAGAGGCTGTAGCTCAGAGCCTCACCAGCAAGTATTACTCATTTGCTTCCTGTGACCCCCCCCCCCCCCCCAACATAAACAAGTATTTATTTTTGCCTGTTTGAAGTCAAACAAACACGTGATGCGTTCTAGAAGTCCAGAGATCATTAACACCATGACTGTTGATAATTGTTTTGCCATCCAGGCCTTGCATACAGACTTTCTGGTGATCACACTAATGATGGACTTTTCAGGTAGATCCTTTCAAAAGTCAAAAGCTGTTTAATTCTGGGCCAATAAATGTCAAAAGAAAATGTTTTATTACAAAACAGAAGCTAAAAAAAAGAAGCAATAATCTAAATGTGTCTGTTTTGGACACTTTTATGCAGAAAACCACCGATTCCTTGATATTTTCCAAATCTCTTCCACATTCTAAGCTTTCATGTCTTAAACAATTTGTTCTCTTCTGTAACAAGAACAAACAATAACACTATTTGACAAGGGAGAAACAGCGTTTTGCCCTTTTCCAAAGATCTCGGTTCTGAAAGCTTTGAAGATATCTGAATAATGTGGAGCATTCATCAAAAGTTTGGGACCGGGACAAGTAGAGGTTCTGTTTAAAATTCAGATGCTGGGTTTTCTTTCTTCACCTCTGGTGATGAGACGCGCCACAGACTGTTCTACCTGCTAGAACACTCACCACCTTGGAGAACTCTTCACTCTTTTCATTTTCCGTGTTGTTGTTTGTGCTTTACAGAAATAAAAATACCTAAAACGCCCTAAAAGAAAAAGTCAGAGGTGTTCCATGAATTAAACCCAAATAGTGTTACTCTTTTGACTTTTTAACTTCCAACTTGTGGAACCTTTAGCAGTTTTTCTTCTTCTTTTTTTTGTTGTTGTTTATTTTGGTGTTAAAACTGCAATTTACGTAACGTCAGTATGGTCATGTAACAGTTTTATCTTACGTGAAGAGTTGAATCAGAACTGTTAAACAGTTTTTAAAAGCAGACTCATGAAGTTCATAATGAATGTATTCTTTTAGTTAATGTATGTGAAACATTATTTAATAAATTGTGTGTAATCACCAATAGAGTAATATTGGTAAAAATGTTTAAAAAAATAAAGATTATTGCGCACAGTTTCATTTATGTCAGTAATTCAAGTTAAATTATGAAAGGAGCGCATGAGACGCATATTTGTTATAGTTGTGATGATTATGGGTTACAGTTCACGAGAACCCCATATTCAAAATTTCAAACAGTTAGAATATCGGGAAAAGGTTCAATATTGCAGAAAGTTTCACACTTCAATAAGCTAATGAATCCAAAACATCTGCAAAAGGTTCCTGAGCCTTTAGATGGTCTCTCAGTCTTAGATTAAATTAAAGTATTTAACAATTTATCTTCATTACACACAAACACACACACACACACACACACACACACACACACACACACACACACACACACACACACACACACACACACACACACACACTGTCTTTACATATAAAGGTAATGTAACACATTGTGATAATAGATCTTTTGTTTTTTTCATGAAAATTAAATGAAACTAAATAATTTTAATGCAGAAAACTAATTTACGTTCTCATTTCAATCCTTCCTTTATTATTTAACAAACAAAAAATTCGGAAAAATTGAAGCAAAACGTGATGATAAAAAATACGATTAGTTGTTTGTTTTTCTATCACTTAAATGCAAAGTGAATCTTTCCAGTAATTTGTCTTAAAAGTGTTAAACATGTAAATGATCTGGTTGTTTTGATACCAGCCACGCTTTTTGTCTGACAGTTTATATTTATTTATTTGGCAGACGATTTTAGCAACATAGCGTTAGCAAGGCAACATATGATTGTTAACCTATAGGGCATGTTGTGATCTGTGGGGGAAACCAGACCTGGAGGAAACCCACGCATGCGTGCAGCTCCACGCTGAAAGGCCACAGCCAGGTTTCGAACCTGCAACCTTCTTGCTGCGAGGCAACAGTGCTAACAACTGCGCCACCTTGCAGCCATGAAAGATGAAGAAATAAAACTAATAATGCACTTTCTCAAAAACTAAAACACACTTCTAAAAATACTTGAGTCATTCTGTAGCTAATTCTGGTGCATAAATGACTCAGAGTGGTGTAAACAGAGCATTCATTATAGATGATGTTTGACTTTGTGTTAAAATAGGTTTAAACATGCAGCATTAATAGTTTTACTCTGTTGTGAAAACAGCACAATTTGCAAAAATCCTGAACAGGAAATAAATCAAACCACCAAAACAATCCAAAAACTCTAATAATTACCTGCCATTGTTGCCACAAGCTACAAGCAGCCCTTCAGAGGTTGAAGACATGTTTGGTCCAAAGACCAAAGCGGATCCCTCGTGTCTTCAAGCAATTACAATTTAAAGTTGCTCTGTGTTGTTTGCAGACTCTTGTAAAGTGTTATAGTGCCATAACCTTTATATGGCTATTCTGGCAGATGTGATTTTTAAATGTAAACAAAAAGCTCCATCACTTATTTCCACTGCAAATGATGACGTAACTTTATGTATTTACCCTTCTAGTCAGACACTGAAACAGGTTGGTGTTGTTTTCAGAACCATGGACAGCTCCAGCCACCGGCGCTTCTATGTTCCCTAATCTTTTATGACAAGAAGCTATTTTACACTTTACAGATGTGTTTGAATCAAGAGTTTCACTTTCATAAAGTCTAATATTTTCCAGTCTGTACTCTGGCTCCTGATCGCTGACCTCCTGAGACTCCTGGGGAAATAGCTGCAAACCTTGCTCAGCTCATGCGTGAACGATCCAGCAGCTGGAACATCTGGAGGCAGCAGGAACCGTCGGCCACCTGAGACTGCAGAGCCTTATTGACTCGGTCAGCGGTGGGCTAATATTGACAAGTGCCGCGCGCTCGTTCTGAGGTGTCATAAACCGGCGGGCTGAGACGTTTTTAATTTAACGTCAGATCAAGTTTGACCAACACTGGCCTGCCGCGACGGGTCCAATCAGAGTTCAGATCATCTCCATCTTCTTCCCCCCTCCCCAGCCCTCCCCTCCCCGTCGTCCCCCTCTCCCAGCCTCCTTCTCCCTGCTTCTCTCTTTCTCTCTTTCTTTACTTGCAAAAAATGCTATGCAGCTGGGCTGCACCTCAGTGAATGAATTGGTGCACTGTGAGCCACCATCATCTCTCCACTGGATTTCCGTTTGCTGCCGGCTTCCACCCAGAACATATGAATTTGCTGATACAGACCCTTTTGAGGAGTTGAAAAGACAGGTCGGAGAAAATGGCACAACGCGTGGTTTTCCTTTTCCTGTGGCTCTCTGAGCAGTCCTTCGCAGGATTCCCCAATCAGATAAATATCGGTGAGTATGTTTCCTGCTGGGATTTTGGTTTGTTTAGGTAAATTATCGTGATTAAGAAAAAGGAAACTGCACGCGCGCGGAGCTTTGCGCAACTTGAATTTCTGAATACATATTCAGCTAAGAGCAGCTGTTTGAGGAAACGACATTAAAACTGCTACCTGAGTCGAGTCTGTCTTTGGAATAATTGTAGAAAACAGTTTTTAAGATGATGGGAGACGATGTGTCCTTCGTTCAGTCCGGAGAGTTACTGACAGGCGCGCTGCTCCACAGATGCACGAGTCATTATTTAAAAAAAACCTCTAGACGCGTTTTTATTGAACCTATTTCCTGACTGAAGCTAAGAACCAGAGCAGGGACGGGACTGAACTAGTCTGATCTTGGCTTCCGTGGTCTCTTCAGGAGGGCTGTTCATGCGTTCCACGGTTCAGGAGCACAGCGCGTTCCGGTTCGCTGTCCAACTCTACAACACCAACCAGAACACCACCGAGAAACCTTTTCATCTCAACTACAACGTCGACAACCTGGAGTCGTCCAACAGCTTCTCGGTCACCCACGCATGTAAGTGTTTCCCTGTCCCAGGACTTCTCTGACCACCAACAGCATGTTCATGTCAAACTCACGATGCGCTGCAGACTCGTTCCTCTGACTTCTGACCACGGAATAGCATTTAGTCATGTTTTATTTTCCTGGAGTTTAATTTTATTATACAGCTCAGAAAACCCATAAATGAAAGCTGACATGGTGCTTAGGAGCTGTTCCTGTGAGTAACATACGGTAAACATGCTTCCTTCTCCAAACTAAACATGATTACACTGATAATTAGTATCAAGAAGCATTCAGGTGTTTTGCTTTTATATGTTTTTTTAAGTGGGGGCAAACTTAATTAGCAACTGGTGATACTTCTCTGTGACAGATGTGACATTTAATCATTTAATTTGCTATTTTTTATTTGATTCTCTTGAAAATGCCAGAAACAAATTGCAAATGTGGATTATAAAGATGAAATTTCTGTTTAATATTAAAGGATGAGTTAATTTTGTCTATTTTTACTGGCACACATTCTTGTCTGATCAGTGCAGCTGTGGCCCTCTAACCCCTGCATGACACGGCCATAACACCCCCACCACCACCACCACCACCACCACCACCCCAGTCTGCCAGAGCATCTCCGACTGCACCGTCCTCTGACTCCCCCTCTGTAGAGCATCTTCCCCAGCATTGCAGAGTCAGCTCATTAGCACTCAGCCCTCATAGCACCTCACTGTGCTGTCATTGGGTGAAAGGGGGTTGGAGGGGGGGGGGATCCACAGCTCCCCATCCAACGCCTGCAAATGAGCTGGATTCAGACCTGCAGAGGAGGTGGGCCTGAGCGGTAACGGAGCTGAGGCAGAGCATCGTATCCGAGACAGCAGAGCAGTACGAAAGCTTTCACAAGAAACAATAAGCAAATGAGAGCGAATAAATAAAAGATAATGCTGTGCAATTTCACGCATGATGAAGAGGAGGAGAAGGATAAGAAGAAGAAAAGCTGATATCAGAATTTAATTAAATACAGGGGCAGAAGGCAAAGGGATGTGCTTTTGTGGGAGCAGTGACCCTGTTTCATGCTGCCGGTTCTAAATGTTTGCTCCAACAAGAGCCCTTCACCGCCTTACGGTCTGATCTAAGTGCAACACAAAACACTTGCTCAAACGTCATTCAGACAGTGATGGCATCCCCACAGCCACAAGGCCACCGATAAAGGCTTCACTGAGGCCAATACTGAAGCTAATCTTTATCAAATGAAGGCAGCTCAATATGAAATACCAGTTATCAGCAATAGCTTTGGTCAAAATGTATTTCTATTGAACAGAAATACTCAACAACAGCTGGAGATTGATAGCAGCCAATGGATGGATGCTTGAATAAAAACCATGGATGTAAGAACTCCTAACGGTATTCATACAGAGGAACACGCTGGCTTCAATACACTGGATGAGCTGGATTTAGCAGCTGCTGCTGCTTTTGTTTCAGTGTGCACAGAGATGTCTGGCAGCCAATTATCATAAAAATTGCATATAAAAATATTTTAGAATCCAAGTAAAGGGATCTTTCGCACCAGGATACATCCCTAACATCCCTTTTATTTCAACAATGAAATATTATGCAGGTCTGGTAACCCTGTTGATTGTTCACATAGCAGCAGCAGATTGTTAGATTTATGTATTTCAGTAATTCAACATAAAGCTGCTATAGTGCATCTACAGAACACTCACCCCTCCCCTCGAGCGTCTTCCTGAGATGCTTCTGCAGAAAACAAAAACCCACATTGCCACAGAAAGCGAGATATTGCTAAACACCGTTTGCCGTTTTCTAGGTCCAAACGTCTTTTTGTTGTCCGTGACTTCAAATGGTGTGTTTTGTTTTGGGACTCTGGTAGTTTGTCCTAAAGGTGAAGTGGTAGCAACCGGCTGTGTCTCCTTCTCTGGTGTTACTGAGCGGAGAACCTCTCACACCAGTGGCGTTCTGCTGCTGAATACGGGCGTGTGTAATGAATGGAGGACCCAGGGAAGTGTGACTTTATTATTTTGTGTTTTTATCTCCACAATATACGCGTAACTACACAATGCTAGAATGTTATTGAGATGCATGGAAAAAAAGGTTTTAAGGTTTTCCAAATATGCCATTGCAGCTTTAAAAGATGAAACTAATAAATCTCATTACACGCAAAGCCAGATATTTCAAGCCGTTATTTGTAGTAATTGTGATGATGATGGCTCATCGTTCATGAAAGCCCCGCATTCAAAAACTCAGACATTTAGAATATTGTGGAAAAGTTCTATATTCTAGAATCAATCAGCTGACGAATCCATCAACGCCTGCAAAGGGTTCCTGAGCCTTTAGATGGTCTCTTGGTTGAATAACTGAAAGAAACGGACTTTTGCACCATATTCTGATGTTTCAGATGGCACCTGTGCACACCTGATTGGTCTGATGTTCTGGGCCTCATTGTGTGACTCTGCAAATCCCAGCAGCCTCCATCCAGTATCCACAACAATGCTGTAGACATCTGGGATCAAACTCACAAGATTTCAGTCCAAAAGAACATCCAAAGAAAGTCTCCGAACAAGATGTGGCCCCAATGTGAAATCGGCAGGAAGCAACAGTCTTGAGGCCTGACACACGACAGGGAAGGGTTCTGCTGTGTCTGCACCCAAACGGGTCCGATTCACAACAGCAGCAGCGTATTTTGTCGTGTAAACGCAACCTAAGTGCATGATCTGAGACTTTTATCAAGAGCCTGTCCTGATGTTCTTGTTATCTGAGTTTGCAAACTGCAGACAGCTCGTGCTGAGTTCACAACAGGCCACGAGCACCTCAGAGTGCCTCTGCCGATGTAGGCAAGCAAACAGAGGTGACGGTTATTAAATATCACTTATCTGCTGACTTTCCAGCCTTTAAGGACATCCCTTTTGTGAGTGAAGACCTCCTGTGCCTTGAATTTAGCCTTTGTCAGCTTTGTTGTTTGTTTTACTGGCTGTCACAGGAGGTTACTGGACATGCAAAGGTCCTCTGTCACCAGCCGGCCTGGCTCCTGGGAATGACTCAGCAGTAACTTACATCCACATTTATGATTGGTCAAGGTTTTTTAAGGTAGAATTTGCTCCTACATATGCTACCATAGTTCTATTAGTTTGTATGTTTTCATAGTTTCACTTTACTTTATCTTAATGGGTCTTTTTAGATTAGTCACCCTCATCTGCCATGCAGCCTTTACATTTCTAAGTCAGTGAAGAGCCTACAGAAAACATGAATGCGTTTACTCTTGAGCTTAACTTTTTGCTGGTAAAACAACTTTAAAGTTAGTTAAAAGCTTTGTGCTATTAATGAAATCAGCAACTGTCAGAAAAACAATGCATGGCTTTAGTAATCCTCACGGCCTGGCTTAGCACCGCGGCAGCACTCTGTCTTGTTTCGGTGACAAGATTGTTGCTGCTTTGAAGTAACATAAGAAATGTTGAAATGTGCAATTACCAGCTCAGGGTCCATAAAAGCTGCTGAAGCTGGGATTCAGGTATGCTCACAGAGAGCCCAGAAGTAGTTCAAAGCAGAGGGTCGCAGTCTGAGGAAAGCAGGTAGATAGCATTAATGCAGCGGATAGTTGTGGCTTAGCCTGCTTAATGACACTGCCACCCTTTTTCACCTGTTTACCCTCTTTTTTTTTTGCTTCCTTTACCTGAGGCATGAAAACATCAAATCCTCATTCCTCTCCTTGCTTTGCTATTTATGAGATTACTTGCCCTGATTCTTGTTAAAAGCTAATTTTTGCACTGCTTAGCTTTGGAATCTCATCTCACATTTCCTCATTCCTCATTCTGTCATTAAGCTAATGGTCGGTGTCTGCCAGCCCTTTTCACATCTGCCATCCCTCTTTTATTGAATCCTCCAGGTCTTAGTACTCTGGCAAAAGCACATGCTTCCATGGCTACTATGTTCTTGAAGCATTTTTCTTGCTTCCTTCCTGAAGATAAAACCACATCAATCTAAGAGTTCTGATGAAATGGCACCTTCCTGCCTTTTCATGAACTAACTGACTGCTAGCTCTAATTCAGCTACTAGAACAAAACGAAAATGTCGTTTGGTTGAAATTTGTTGGTGAAAGAGAACAAATGTAACGAATATTGAGTTTATTGATTAATGACGGCAAGGAAGAGGCAATGTCAAGCTGGTTGCTAGGCAACAGAGAAAGGAGGGGATGAAACAAGCAAGTTATGGGAGCAGTTTTGGAAAATGCGTTAGAAAAAACTTGAACGTATACCCAGCGGTTGTGAAAGTCTGAAGGGTTGGAAAGCCGCACTGCACCGAGTTGTGAAATAAACAATTACAGCTAAAGAGCTTCTGCTTCAGCTGAACACAGATGCTAAAAAGCCTTTGTCATTTTTCTCACAGCAGCTCGTTATTCTGTTTTTGGATAAATCCAAACTTTAATTGTTTATTTGCAACCTTTAACAATAACTCTCATTACTGCATCCATCATTATAAAAATCACACAGCACCCGTAACCGTTTAAGGACATCAGAGTCCAGCTAACACACACACACGTAAAACCTGTTGGGTTGTCTTAGCCTGATTTTCGGGCGGCCATGATTGTGTTGCCTGCAGTGTGACGTGTAGCCAATCAGAAAGTGAGGCGACTGAAGTGTGCAGCATGCTCCTCCTGCACCATGTTTGTTTACTTTAAAGTCACAAATTATCTCAAGGAGATTTCCCATCTGAGTGACAGCAGTTGTCGCGTAGTGTCTGTTGAGTTGCTGCACACCACACACTGCAGTTTGTCACACAATGTGTGTGTTTTCTTGCTTCAGTCGCCCGACTATTTAAAAATCCTGTCATGTGAACTGGGCTTTAGTTTAGTTTGCTGACAGAACAGGTGAACTCTTAAGGGCCAATCACCATCAAACCAACGTTTATCAGTTGTAGCAACATTTGTGTTTTTTCAATGCGATTATCTAAACGTCCATAATGATCATTGCTTTTGTGTAGTCTACTCTCATTGAGTGTGTTTACATGCAGCCAGT